GATCAATCAAGAGGGGAACTTCAATTTGGCCCCCCCTTTTGGGAGCCCCAAAAGTCGCCTTTTCGTGCGCTGTTGGAGCGCTATTGGGCGCTCCTGGGGCCGTCTTGGGCCTCTCCTGTGCCTCTCCTGGGGCCTTCTTGGGCCATCTTGGAGCCATCTTGAGGCCTCGGATGGCCATCGGAAGCGAAAAGGCGAAAAAGCACACACCATTGTTTTTGTTGTTTTTGAATGACCTTGGCCTCTTGGGGAACTCCTTGGAGGTGTCGGAGGCCTCTGGGAGCCATCTTGGAGCGTTCTTGGGGTATCGTGGAGCATCTTGAAAGACATCTTGAGTCATCTTGCTCTATCTTGAGCCATTTTGGAGGTCAATCTTGGGCTTTCCCAGGCACTCTTGGAGCCGTCTTGGGCCATTTTGGACGCTCCAACGCCTCGCGCCCTCCCCAACGGGAGGGGGAAGGGGTGAGGGGGAGGGGGAAAGGTCCAGGTCCAGGGGAGGGTGTGGGGGGGAGGGGTAAACCCCTCCCCCAAGGGAAAGAACATGGATGAAAGAGGAACCTCCCTAGACCACCTACGCCTAGAGGGCAGGTGGGATTACAGAGGGTATGCCGACCAGCACGTTCAATATACTATGTACGACGTACTTGGGAACTTGCAGAAAGAGGCATCGCTGGACAAACTGATGGTCATCCTTCGCGCTGTTTGCCTGTTTGCAATGCCCGGGCGTGACGGGCCACTTTGGACGATAGTCGCAAGTCAGTCGGCCCACACTGCATGCCAGAGATGAGTGCACGAGGCCAGTGGCTCAGCCAATGGGCGATTCGCCTGCGCCTTTTTATCTTGAACACGTTTTTCCGCATGCGGCCGGAGCATGTATACACATACCTATCTCCGCAGGGTGTTGAACAATAGGTTCGGTTTTTCTTGGCCAATCAACGCGTTTGGAGTGCAACCTGCGATTGTGAGGCCAGCGGGGACATCGATATGGGATCGGACCACAGGGCCGTCCAGATGACCGTAAGGCTACCACGAATAGCGTCGCCAACGCAACACAACAAAATATCCGACAGCCCATGGGCAAGTGTGGACCGAATGGTGGTCCGAGATATAAAGAATGCCTGACTGACAAATTTGATGGTTTTGTTAGTGGAATTCCGATTCCAGTTCAAACGCGAGGAACGGAGGGTACGACTCAAAGTATCACTGGGGGTCTGCAACCTGCAAACACAGCGACTACCACCTGGAGGCAACAGCAAACCACAGACAGCCTGTCCGACTTGCTTCGCGACAGACGCGCGGCCGCCGCGACGGACACCACCAACCGAACACAGCTGAACAAAACCATCAAGCAGGAGGTTCAGACCATCATGCAGGCTATACAAAGAGCTCGCTTTGACCATATCTTGACACAGCACAAGGAGCTGAAGAGAATTTGCAGGGCAACGACGTACAAGCAACATAGTTCATGTCTAACATTGTGGAATCAGGCTGATAACGACAGTTTGACAGACAACCCATCGTTGATGCGTCCGCCACTTTTCATGAACAGGTCTATCAAGACACCGACAGGACATGTCAATCGATAGCGGCCACTGATGTGGTGACCGTCCTGGCTGTCTCTGGTTCTGAAACGGAGCCGGTTCTGACAGGGCCCACTGCGAGGACATTGTTGCGGACACGACGAAACCAGGTGGGATTTTTTTGCGGCCAGTGCTTCTGGAACTGTTCAACAACAGCAGTAGTCGGGCGAAAAGGGCTATGCACATGCACCGACCCTGACAACGTCCATCCTTGACCCAGGATCGGTGCATATGCTTTCGTGGCCAAGAGAAAACGGCGTATGCACCGATCCTGGGTTCAGGATGGGCCTGGCCAGAATCGGTGTATGTGCATATCTCGCGTTCCTCTAATTTGCCTGGCGACGCCAAACGCCATGTAGCTGGAAATCTACTACGATCAAACTGTTGTAGAAAAGTGGCGAACCTCACATCCCGCACACTAACAGGCCAATTGCAAGTACCCCCGTGCTGTACAAGCTGTTTTCTCGCCTGTTATACTACAGACTTCTTACGATTTCGGACCGCCACCAGAGCATATACTAAGCGGGCTTTGACCCCAAGTGCATCACGCCTGACCATCTTTTCACAGTTGCGCAGATTCAGAAAAACAAAAACGACTGGTGAATTGACGCTACCAGTTTGGATCTTAGCCAGGGACTGTACGACAGTTTTTGGCAGCGTGCACCATTATAGCAAATGGCGCGCCGTGCCCGGACAGGGCGTGCCGCCTGCAAATATATATATATATATATATATACATATATACATATATATGTATGTATGTGCGCACTTGTTGGCAATGCTATACGATGAACAAGCGGCGTCTGTCCGCCCAAATAAGACGAGCCGAACGTTCAACGGGGAGCGGGCGGCGTGTAAAAGGGTGATCAGTTGAGGTCGCTTTCGCTCCTTTGCGTGAAAGATCGCATCATGCGAATGGCCAAAAAGACTCGGCATCAGCAACGTGGGGTTGATTTCCGCCCGGGCCGCGCATGGTTTACCAACCTCCGCTTTGTCGACGGTATAATTTTGTTTGTAGGGTCGTGTAACATATGTCACGCGCGTGATCCTCGACCTCAGCGAGGAAGCCGCGAAGGCTGGCCTCCACCTACATCCAGACACAGCCAAGATCTGCACAACTTCCTTCGGATATCACGACGGGGCCGACTTTCAAATCATGCGATGGCCATTTGTATTTCCATCGGGGTACAGCCGGACTACAAGCCCACCAAGTTTTTGGGTCGCGAACTTCAAGCTCGCGACTCCCACCCGGCAGGGTTGGAACAAATAACAAATGTTGGTTTGAGGAAGTTCCACGTGCAGCAGAAGGAATCTATTGGAAAACATTTCTCTCTCTCTCACCAACTGGACAAGATTATTTCATGGGACAGTTACCATGGCGGTTTATACGAATGCGTGGTTTGGACAATGACGGCAATGACGGAACACATATTGCGGAGAGTGCAGCGCCAAATGCTACGCATGATTCTGCAGACGCCCTGGCGCTACTCCACAGTAGTCGATCACCCGGGGGATCCAACTTGAGTGTGTTGAAAGTTCCAGCGATATTGCGGACGACGACAATGCAGTCCATGATCCATCTCCGCAGGATCAGTTTCCGCACGACGACGATAACGTGCTCGAGCCTTGGGCAGACTGGATTCGGCGAGCAACCCAAAAAGTATAATCCACACTTGCGCAGTTGAGAATGCATGGCTGGGTATCGATTCGACGACAAGAAGTTGACTTGGGCTCCGCCAGTGATCGCATCAGAGGACGACGCTTGGATGGTGCACGCAGTATTGTGGATTGTGAAATCCGTCCGGGCAGCAGTTTTCATTGTGATGCCCGCAGACGCCTTGGCCTTTCAAAGAAACGCTGGTCTGATGATTTACGGGACTTGTCATTGACTGAACAAAAATTGCGGCGGTCGAAAGTGGGTGGGCGTTGCTGGCATTTGAATATGGGAGTCGTTGGAGAGTGGTTCCGCGACTTGAGCATGATTCGATTGACTTCATAAGCGCGGTTGTTTAGACCACCCTGTTGGGATATAACACAACCTCTGTGCAACCGCTGGGCTGATACGTTTACAGGGTAAATCGTACTTTTGGCTTGCTGTGCCCCTCCCGAGCCCAGAGCCATTGCCATTTTTTCGGATCATGGCTATGCTCACCGGTTCGTGGTTTTCGTTCCTCATCTTTGGCCGCTCTCTTGGACAATGAGTGGCACAGGTGGCTCCTTGTGCTTGCGTCTGTTAGCCCAGAGGGGGCAAGGCTTGTCCGCTCCTGCTGGCGCCTACATACAACTATCGCGTTGTGGCCCGAATGTTTTCCAGTATACTTGTTTTGTCCAGTGCCACTGTGCGACGTACTGTTCACAATCTTGCGCCACGGCTCCCGCCTGCAGCGCCCCCGATTATGTGCACTTGCAGGTTTTGTCTGTCTGTCTGTTTGTCTGTCTGTCTGTCTTTCCATTTGTCCGTCTCCAGTCGTGAAACTGTTTATGGCGAGGATGTTTGAAGCGAAACGCCCGGCCCGCCTTACCGACATTTGTTTCCCCCATCCACGGAACACCTTGTGGCAGAAAAGGGGGGGAGAAAAGGGGGAGGCGGGAGGAGGTTTCTGGGGTATTTTGCAACAGCGAAGTCATCCGGCGAGTTTGGGCGGTCCGCGAGCCGCAGCTGCAGCGGCTTGCGCCACGCGGCTCCCGCGCCGCCCGCCCAGGCCGGCAGCGCTAGCAGCAGGGCGGCGGCGCGAGGCGGCAGGACCGGAGCCCAGCCGCCGCAAGGGCTGCTCGCCAGTCGTTGCCGGGCCGGCGCCCAGCAGCCGCAGCGCAGGCGGGCCGCCTCGGGGGGCCCTCGGGACGCCACGTGGGCCCGGCACGCATTGCTGGCGAAGAGGGCTTTGGCGGCGGCTGCCTCCGCTGCCGCCGCGGGTCGCCGGGCAGGCTGTGGAACCCGCGCTCGGGCGGCCACGGCGGCCGCCACTGCCGCGCCGTCGCCCTCGCGGGGCGCGCGTCGCCTGCGCCTTTGGGCCGTCCAACGCCGCCGCACGCGGGGCCGGCGGGCGTTGTCGCCGTGTTTGGCCTCGAGCACGGCCCGCGGTTGGCCTCCGGCACGGCCCTACCGACAGGCTACGGGTTGCGACAGGGAAGAGTTATTGACAATGAAAAAGGATGGAGGAAGAGGAGGAGGAGGAGGAGGAGGAGGGGGAGGAGGAGGAGGAGGAGGAGGAGGAGGAGGAGGGGGGGGAGGAGGAGGAGGAGGAGGGAGGAGGAGGAGGGGAGGAGGAGGAGAAGGAGGAGGAGGAGGAGGATGAGGGGCAGGAAGGCGGGGCGGGGAAAGTAGCGGAAATGGAGGGCGATAGTTGCGCAATTGTGAGGAGGGGGGGGATACTGGATGCGTGCGTGTGGGGACGGGGTGAGTGCCGCGCGTCACCGGTGGAGGTCGTCCCGGATCCTGACCGTGGATGGCGAGAGCGACCTCCGGCAGTTCCTCAAGGCGCAAAGCGCCTGCCTCGCACCCGTTTCCTCCCCGGTGCTCGTCCTCCTCCTCCTCCGTTTTCTATCATCCGTGTTGGCGCCAATGGTTGGTTCTGGCTTTTCTGTGGGCCAAGATGGCATGGCGTACACCGTGCCGCTCGCTAGCGCTTCCCCATGCCTCGCCTCCGGTGTCTCGCGGCTCCCACCAGTTCGGCGACCCCCCAACAAAATATGTGCAAGCGTGTGCAGGCCTTTCGCATCTGCGAGCCTCTCCCTCCGGCGGTTCAGCTGGGAGAAGAATTCTGAATTTGTTTACAAGGATCCAACGGCCGAGTTGTGGCCCCTCACTAGGTCCCCCAGCTTTGGAAAAGTAGACGATGGCATCATGATGGCAAGGCGTTCATTTGCGCGCCATTGACCAGAAAATAGGTATTGATGCGGGGGGCGTCGTAGGTTTGTCGGTCACATATCAGGTCCTGTGTCGCTGGGGCCTCTTTGAGGCTTTTTAGTATCAAGCCGTTTGGACTCGGCGTAGGTTGCGGCACCGTGGTTACGCGGCATTCGTGGTATGTGCATGCGTTGCCCCGGCTGATTGCCTTTCTCCCTGCCTTCACCGTTGCCCTCTCAGCTCCGCTGCAGGCGGGACGGCTGAAACCATCGGATGGTGAACTCACTCCCGACCGTCGCAGAAACTTCCACCTGTTTGCGGATTTATGGAATTTCATGGCTTTTCTGTACACTGCACATTCTGGCGGGGCTTCAGTTGTGATGATGATTTATTTGCCATTACGCTGCTAGCAGAAAAGTGCAGCGACTCCAACTTACCAGTATGGATTGAAGGTTTTGGGTTCACTATCACATGCGAACATCTGGAATACGCTGGTTGCTCACGGGGTGCCGTCTGTTTGTGTGAGCGGTTGTTCCCAGCTTTACAGCAGAAAACGGGCGCGCATCCAGTGCGACGTGGCAAGCAGAGCGTTGGAGACCAGGACGGGGACGAAGCCGGGCGACCCCATCAGCTCACTTATCTTCAAGTGCGTTCTTGAAGACGTAATGCTCACTCGAAATCACATGGGAATCGAGAGAGTACGGCAGGCAATTCGGCTACAACGAGTTCTTCACGCCGACGAATTTGCGGGTCGCAGACGGCATATTTTGGGTCGGGCGTTTTTTTTGCCGCAAATCAAACGCATGAGCGCGGACGTCTGCAGGGGGAGTGCGAACATGGGCTTGGAGCTGCATCCGGCCAAGAGAAGATACAGCACAACAGTCTTGGGTACGGCAGCCATGTTACAACAACGTTTGTGGAGGAAATGGAATGGAAATTTAAGTTGCGGCGCCGTCTGCAACCACTATGTACTTGGGCAGAGATTTGTCGCTCACACTTGCCCACGACGTTAAGCTCGACGACCGCTCCAGGAAAGCATGGACCAAATCCGGCGCATTCGAGCAGGAAGTGACCGACAAGTCCATCCCGCTTTCGCAACGCCAGCTGCAGTCTACGGCTGCGGCAGCTGGGTGGTGACAGTTGCGCGGGGTTCAAGGGTGAAAGGCTGCGCAAATCAGATGATCAGGGCGTTTTTCGGCCGACGACGTGCTATCGCGCGGGAAAGTGAGTTCGAGACGTGGGCAAGATGGGTTCAGCGCATCACGGTGGAGGCACGGCATCTGATGGAGAAGCTCACAATGTGCCTGGCTGGACAAAGGGCGTCTCTCCAGACTGCAGCGGTGGAGTCACAAACTGGAGCAGATGAGTGGCGAACGCTGTGCACGAAAAGTCAGGAATTGGAATCCTGCCGGGCGCACAGGCGCCCGGTGTCGAGATGGGCCGATCACCTTCCGCTGAGGCCTTTACGGCACGCTGCCGTGCGCACGCGGCACGTGCTCAGTGCCCTGTCCTGCCTTTGTCCCTTTGTGCACTAAGCGCGAGGGTCTGGCACCGCCCCTTTCCGTTTCTCAGGCCGACTTCTGCCTAGCGGTGCGGCAGGTTTTCGCGGAGGAAACTTTTGCCGACGGCTCGTGCTTGAAGGACTACCCCGGCGAATTCCCCGCCGCGTGCCGGGCATCCATGGAGCTGACCGCGGGCGGCCATTCGTTTTTTAGCCTCTTGGGCCACGCGGGCTCCCACTACCCGCAGACCTCCCTGGTCGCCGCACACGTGGATGTTTTGGCCGTTATGGAGCCCAGGTGCTGGCCATGCGTTCGGACTTCGGGGCCCAGTTCGACTGGCGGCAGCCCCGTGGAGCCGGGCGTCCGCTCCCAGATGCGTGCCTCGCCGACGTGGGGCCCGAAGGTCGACATCTACACAGCCTGGGCGCATCGACCCTCGCCCAGCAGCTTCGCGAATGAGACCTCGTGGTGGCCAATGCTTCTGCGGGTCGATATGCTCTGTCAAGCACCGCGCTGCTGCCGCGGCCGTCCGAGGCGGAAAGACGGGTTTATGCTGAAAACCGTACCGTATTGAACGTGTACTAGATGGCCAGGTTTTTGCTCCTTCAGCCGCGTCTGGCCCCTTCGAAGAAGGACTGGTCCCAATGTAACAAGTCGCAGCGCGAGGTGGGCTTTCGAACCGACGCGCGAGCAGTAAACGATGTTTTGCCGCAGCCGCGCCCCCCTCCTTCATTCCCGCTGCCTTTGCCAGCCGCGGCTCTGGCGAAAGCGCCGTTCCGCGCGCCGCTAGTTTTGCCCACGCGTGCGACCGGAGGTGTGGGGCAGCAGCATGAGTTGAAGAAGTTGCGCAAAATATGTTGGGCCTGCCTCCAGGGTCAGAAGCGCAGCACCAGAAGTAGGGAGTGGCCCTCGCGCCCTCTCTATCCTTGACTATCCGCTCCACCGATGTATTCGCGATGAGGCGCGACTTGCTGACCTTCTGAGTCACTGCTTCGGACCCCATGTGGGGTGCCTTGATTTGCGTTATTGGCCGTGCGCCGACATGCCCAGGAGCTTGATCGGGGAAAAGTTCTACTCCGGCTCCTCCTCTTGCCCGTTTACACTTCAACCTTGCCCTTTTCGTTGTCGTCGCTTTTTTCTCGTCGTCGTCCACGTCGTCCTCCTACATCCCGAACCAGGGGAAAAGGAGAGCCGCGTATCGTTTGTCAGTTTGCGCGATGGAGTTGAGGAGGGTCTGAGCAAGTAATTGGCGGACGCGGACAGAGGGAGAAATGACACCGACGCAGTCGATTTGGAGAGAGAAAGAGAAAGAGAGAGAGAGAGAGAGACACAGACCGATGCGCCCCAATTGGGCGACACCGGCCTTGGGGTCCAGTTTCACGAGAAGGGCTCGGGAACACCAGCCACCAGCAGAGTGCGAGTCCCGGGAAACTTGTGGTGGAGTGCGCTGACAGCGAGATCTTTGGCAAGGAGGGCGTGGAGGGGTAGGCGCCACCCCCCCCTGGATGGGTTTGCGCAGCGTCGCCGGCCGTTACGTTGCCCACCCCCCGCGCCAGCGCCGGTCTCCGCCGCCGAGCCCGAGTGCTAGCGGAACGATTCGGACGGCGGGCTTTCGAAAAAACACAGAGTCGGCCCCTAGGGCGCCAGACCGCGGGAGGTGCGTCGCGACCAGCGTTCAGTCGGGCCTGTCCTTCTACAGGAAGTAGTCAAGAAATAGCCTGGGGAAGATTTTCGAATATTTTATGATTCTATTTTCCTCCAGAGTCCGCCTGCAGGAGGACATGCCCGACCTAAGGTGAGCGCCGAGCGTGCCTCGGTGTCCGCTCCTCCAACCGCGGCCGCCGCAGCACCAGCCCGCGTGCGTGTTCCGCAGGAGTTTCCCAGGCACCCAAGACGAGGCGGAGGAACGACAGCGGCCGGCGGGGTGGCAAGCCGCCCAGCGTCAGCCTGCGAGTCGTCCTTCCCCTCCTCCTCCTCCTCCTCCTCCTCCTCCAACTCCTCCTCCTCCTTCTCCTCCTCCCTCCTCCTTCCGCCTCCTGCTCATCCTGCTCCTCCTACTCCTGCTTTTGCTCCTCCTCCTCCTCCTCCTCCTCCTCCTCCTCCTCCTCCTCCTCCTGCACGCGAGTCGTCGGGCAGCCCGTGTTCCGCTATGCCGTCGTGGGCCGCACCAGCGCCAGCGCCCAGCGCACCGGCAGTGGGGGGGGGGCGCCACCGCGGCTCGCCGGCGCACCAGCGCCAGCGCCCAGTGCACCGGCAGGGGGGGGGGCGCCACCGCGGCTCGCCGGGCCGCCAGGCAACGGCGTCGGCGGCGCCGCCGCTCTTCGTTCGCGGCAGAGGCGGCGGGCAGTGCTCAGAGGGGCACTAGGCAGTGATACTGACACGTTCCCACAAATTCCAAGGCTTTCAGAATGTCTGGCACTCCCGAATGCTCTACCCCAGCTATAAAAACGAGGGCCGTTAGATGCTCTGGAAATCTTGGAGCGCACCCTTGACCCAATCTGATCATGACATCCCCCCTCTCCCTAGGGGCAGCAGGTCGCGCGAACCCTTTGAGGATCTTCAGGGGCAGCAGCTGGCGCGGTCGCTGCCGTTGGCTTCGGTTTCTCCGCGCAGCGCAGAGCGTGGCGGAGGTGGCCGAGCGAGCGGTGGCAGCCCATCGTGCGCCGAGGCGCCCCAGCCAACGCCGCGGCCCGCACGGCGGCCCTCACGAGGGAGGAGCCGAGGGCCGAGGGGGCCCCGGCATGCCTGCAGCTGCGCCTCGCCGGGGAGGGGACGCTCGAGGCCGTGCCGTCGCCTGAGCCAGAATGTGGAATTGGACAGAGGGAGAGAGAGAGAGAGAGACAGACAGGCAGAAAGAGAGAGAGAGGGGGGGAGAGAGAGAGAGAGAGAGAACAACAACAACAACATATACATAAACAGAGAGTAAGGCAGAGCGATGGTGTGTGTGTGAGGGGTGGGTGGATGCATCGACAGTTAAACAATTAAACATGGAGCTGCGCGTTCAAGCATGGGCCAGGCTGAATAGACGCCAGGATGACGGCATTGAAACGCTACAAATGTGTATTGATTAGCAGGTGTTATTATCCCTCTGGGCTGCCTCAGCCACTCGTCAGATTAAAAGGGCAGGCTGGTGTGGTGAAAAGAGTGAACGCAGTTCTTTTGCATGTGGCCAGTGCCCCTCTGGCACAGTCTATGAGGACTCGAGCGCGCACCAGCGGGAAGCGTCTTGCAATCCAAACCTTCTGATCTTGCCTCATGTCATATCGGACGAAAAGAGCTATGCGCATGCACCGATTCTGCCCAGGCCCGTCCTGGGCACAGGATGGGCCTGACCAGGATCGGACAGCTCTCTTCCTTCATCGTGCACGCAGTGTGCATGCCGGGGATGCCCCCCCCCCTCCCCGCCACGCGCAGATTTCCAATCCTGTCTGGTCGATCTCGAGACGCGGTGGCGGCAACGACATCAACAGGCGCCCCGCCCGCCGGCTCGTGAGGAGGAGGAGGAGAATGAGGAGGATAATGAGGATGAAGAGGAGCAGTAACTTCCCAAAGGTATCCTTCCGTCCTTGCCTCTCGGCCCATCCTGGTCCCCAGTCCTCGACCGCGGCCACGCTTTTTCCCCAACATCTGCTCCGATCTGGGCGTCCAGGGGCCGCGCATCCGGACTGACCGGAGGGACAAACGTACACCGCCCCAAACTCTCGTCGATTTCCTTGAGAATGCGTATTGGAAATTGGGAAGCTGCGGGGAAGAGGGCCATCTATGAACTACATATTGATATTGGAAACCAGGAATTCGTGTGCATGCATTTGTGTCTCCCCGGGGACCTTAATGATCATCCTTCTGATATCGTCGCAGTAGTAGGGGGGGCGCCCTGGGAGAATTGCTGGCCCTGCCAGACAGTTTGCACGTGGTTCCAACACATTCCAGCGTGCGTGCTGCCTCCCTCCCGTCCCTCCCTCCCTTCCTCCCTGCTGTGTATCATCCTCCCCCTTCGGCCTTCTTTCCCTCCCTCCCATCACTCCCTTTGCCTCCTCCGTGCTCTCGCTCTCTCCGCCCCAGTTGATCAGCTCTCTCTCCCCCTTTGGGGGTGTCCCGAAGCGGAATCAAGGACACCAGAAGTACCAGTGCTATGTGGTATGGAAGAGCGAGTCCTGGGAGGGCTGTCCAGATGGAGTTGTCAGGGTGATGCCTGGATTCCCGCTGAGATGCCCGAGGGAGTATCCGGTACGGGTGGCAGTGGCAAGATTGTGGCCCATCTTCTTCCACTGCTGGCTGGTGCGAAGAGCACGCCGCATCGCGCGAGGGTCATCGAGAAGCTCAAGTGCATCGGCGTGACCGATGCTGGCGGCAAGGGGCGGGCTTGCCCTTCTGCTTGTCATTGCGTTCGCCGTCCGGGGGAGTGGGATGAACAGGTGGAGGAGGGATATGAGGCGAAGGAGGGAGGCGGAGCAGCAGGAGGAGGCGCCGGAGAACTCGAGGAGGGCGAGGACGGGGTGCTCGTGCTCCGCACGCGTTGCCGTGCTCCTCCTCCAACTCATCCTCCAGCTCTTCATCCGACTCCTCCTTTTTCTCCTGCTCTAACCCCTCCTTCAATTACTCCTTCTCCTCCAACTTCTCCATTTTCTCCTTCTCCTCCAGCCCTCCAACTTTTCGTCTTCCAACGCCTCGTCCTCCATTTTGATTTTGGGCAAAGATGAGGGCCAAGCTTGATGCGTTCATCATGGCGACAAAAGAGGCTTCGACTTAGGCGGAGTTGGCAAGGAAATGATGCCGCGGACGGGTGCATTTAAAGTAAAGCAACAAGGAGCGAACATAGGAGTGGCCCGACAGGGCAGAAGTAACCTAGTCCGCGGCAATGCAAGGTTCGAGGGAGGGTGCAAACATACATAATCAAAAGTAACGAGTACAACTGATAACGAGGAAAGATTCGAAAGGAGGTAACAGTACACACGAGCAAGAGTGCAGGCCTGCCTAAAGCTCGCCGGATAATACACTTAGGCTGGGTCGCTAGAGTATCCCCATCCACCCCAGGATCCTTTAAACCACGTTCCCCATTGTAGTATATTGCAGGTGCCAAAAATAATCAAACGACGGTGAAACTGAAGCGGATCTGGTTAGGTCTGGCACAGACGTTACTGACTAGCCTAGGCAAGTTTTCCATGGCAGGACGTTGTAGGCTGGCATGTAAGCGTACACTAACTAATTGCAAGGCTGGTTTGGATATAGATTTGGCGGTATTCTGAAAACGCGAGGGGCATCCTGACTAGAATCCGCTTCGCGGCGGCGGTGTAGCGGGCCATCTGACCTGCCCTGGCGGTGTCGTAGCGGGCCGTGTGCCCAACCCCCATGCACCAGCACATCCCCAAGTCAAGGCTGGTCACTTCAGTCTGGCTGGCCGGCCTAGTGCGGCACTGAGAGCGGGAGGATTGCGTTGTGAAAAGTGATTGGCACAGGCGGTGTTGCCACAGTGGGAATGGCGCCCCCTACCGAGGTGCCAAAATATCATTGTCCCCCACAGGTCCCCGGACACGTCCGCCGGACACCCCGGGCACCCCGGACACGTCCCCCGGACACCCCGGACACCCCAGACACCCCGGACACCCCGGACACCCCAGACACGTCTCCCGGACACGTCCCCCGGACACGTCCCCCGGACACGTCCCCCGGACACATCCCCCGGACACGTCCCCTGGACACCCCGGACACCTCGGACACGTCCCCCGGACGCGTCCCCCGGACACCCCGGACATCCCGGACACGTCCCCCGGACACCCCGGACATTCCGGACACGTCCCCCGGACACCCCGGACATCCCGGACACCTCAGACACCTTCGTCGTCGTCGTCCTCCTCCTCCTCCTCCTTCTCCTCTTCCTCCCTCTCTTCCTCCTGATCATCATCATCTACATGCGTCACCATCATGCCTCACTAACACCATCCTACTATCGCCTTCTCATCGTCGTCCTCCCCCGCATCCTCCTCGCCCGCATCCTCTGGTTTCCTCATCATGCTCTTCCTGACGACTCATCACCGTGCTTCTTCCTCCTGCCTACTCATCATGCCTTTCCCTACTGCCTCAATCTGCTCGTCTTGCCTCTTGCCCATGCCCCCCATCCTGCCTGCTCCTCCTCCTCCCTCCTCCTCCTCCTCCTCCTTCTCCTTCCTCCTCCTCCTCCTCGTCGTCGTCCTCCTCCTCCTTCTCCTTCTCCTCCTCCTCCTCCTCCTCCTCCTCTTCCTCCTCCCCTCCTCCTCCTCCTCATCATCATCATCATCATCATCATCATCATCATCATCATCATCATCATCATCATCATCGTCGTCATGATAATGATCCTCAGCATCGTCATCGTCATCAGCATCATCATCATCCTCATCATCATCATGACCATTGTCATTGTCATCATCATCATCATCAGCATCAGCATCAGTATCAGCATCATCATCATCATCATCATCATCATCATCATCATCATCATCATCATCATCATCACCATCACCATCACCATCACCAGCATCAGCATCATCATCGTCGTTTCCATTTGGTCCCCGTGTTCGGGTGAAACGTAACTTCGCGCGCGTGGCTGGAGTGGTAACCTGAGAAAGGTTATCGCTCCAGCCGCGGGCGAGGTAACCTGAACAAGGTTATCTCGCTCGCGCGCAGTAGGCTGGAGAGGTAACCTGAGAAAGGTTATAGTTCTAGCCGCGGGAGAGGTCGCCTGAGCAAGGCGATCGTTTCCGCCAGCGTTCCGTTGGAGAGGTAACCTGAGAAACCTTGCATCGCTCTCGCAATGGGTGCCGTAACCTGAGCAAGAATATGGTCCCCATTTGGAGGGTGAAACGAACCTTCAAGCGCATGGCTGGAGCGGTAACCTGAGAAAAGGTTACTGCTCCAGCCGCGGGCGAGGTAACCTGAACAAGGTTATCGCGCCGGCGCGCAGTAGGCTGGAGAGGTAACCTGAGAAAGGTTATCGTTCTAGCGCGCACTAGGCTTGAGCGGTAACCTGAGAAAGGTTACCGTTCCAGCCGCGGGCGAGGTACTCTGTACAAGGTTATCGCGCCGGCGCGCAGTAGGCTGGAGAGGTAACCTGAGAAAGGTTATCCTTCTAGCGCGCACTAGGCTGGAGTGGTAACCTGAGGAAGGTTACCGTTCGAGCCGCGGGCGAGGTAACCTGAGCAAGGTTATCGCGTCCGCGTGCCCTAGGCTGGAGAGGTAACCTGAGAAAGGTTATCGTTCTAGCGCGCACTAGGCTGGAGTGGTAACCTGCGACAGGCTATCGTTCCAGCCAAAGGAGGTAACATGTATCGTCTTGACCACTTTCAACACATGGTTTTCCATATGAATGAAGGGAAACTGACGCCAATTGTTTTTGGAACTTCCAGGGGGCAACACAGGCGCGGGGAGCGAAAATCACGCGGGTGCACGCGCATATCGGTGCCCCTGCTTTTTTTGCCCCGAAGACTGTTGGCGGGGGCGCCCGTTTTCTTTTCCTCTCTGTTTACCTGTTTACCTCGCTTGTGGGGGTCGCACATCGATTCCCTTGCTGGGGGCCTACAAATAGATTCCGTTTGTGGCGGAATTACACACGGATTCCCTTTGTGGCAGTTTACAAATATATTCCATTTGTGCGAAGGGGACTGGGGGGGTCTGGCCCTGGGGGGAAGGTCCCAGAGGAAAAAACATTTAAACAACGGCCCTCTGGGTCCACTGGCCCCAGAGGAAAAAACACTAAAAAAGCGGGGCCAGTGGATCCAGGGGCCTTTTTTTTTGCTGGATCCTTCCCCCCACGGGCCAGGGCCGAACCCCTGAGCGAGGAGGTAGCCCGTGGGCGTCGGCGGCACCTCGTCGTCCTCCTCCTCCCCCCCCTGATCCTCGCCCTCCTCGTCCTCCTCTTCCCATTCCTGCACCTCCTTCTCGTTATCGGAATCCCCCCCCTCGGATTTCTATTTTCCCTTGGTCCTCATATTCTCCCCTCCCTTCTCCTCCGTCTTCTCCTCCACCCTCGAACCAATTTCGGTTCTTAGGTCGGACCGGAACGTTTTCGGCGAGGCGCAGCTCGTCATCACCATGGACATCAACAAGGTTTTCATAGTCATACTCGTCATCATCACCACCACCTCCACCTCCACCTTCGGACCACCCAGGAGGAGAACCACCCAGGTGGAGCACCTCTTGGTCTCCCCCCTCCTCCTCCTCCTCCTCCTCCTCCTCCTCCTCCTCCTCCACCTTCGGACCACCCAGGAGGAGGAGGAGCAGGAGGAGGAGGAGGAGGAGGAGGAGGAGGAGGAGGGGGAGACGTCATCACCATCGTCATCGACAGCAGCTTGAGAATCACCATCGTCATCAGCATGGTCATCGATATCAGCAGCATGTTCACAACCATACTCGTCATCACCATCGTCATCAGCAAGGTTTTGATAGTCATACTCGTCATCACCATTGTCACCAACAGGATCCTCAGAGCACGGTTTGTCATCAGCATGGTCATCAGCAGCATGGTCATCAGCAGAACGGCGTCGTTGGAAGTAATAATTGTCATCAGCATGGTCATCGACAAGGTCTGGATAGTCATGCTCGTCATCATCACCACCTCCACCTCCGCCTTCGGAACACCCAGGAGGAGGACCATCCAGGTGGAGCACCTCATGGTCTCCCCCCTCCTCCTCCTCCTCCTCCTCCACCTTCGGACCACCCAGGAGGAGGAGGAGGAGGAAGAGGAGGAGGAGCAGGAGGAGGAGGAGGAGGAGGAGGAGACGTCATCACCATCGTCATCGACAGCAGCTTGAGAATCACCATCGTCATCAGCATGATCACCGATATCATCAGCAGGTCGACGCATGTCATCGGCATCGTCATCCGCAGCATGTTCAAAACCCTACTCGTCATCACCATCGTCATCAGCAAGATTTTGATAGTCATGCTCGTCATCACCATCGTCACCAACAGCATCCTCAGAGCACGGCATGTCACCAGCATCGTCATCAACAGCATCTTGAAAGTAATACTCCTCATCCGCATTGTCATCGGCAGTTTCCTCAGGCTGACGCATGTCATCAGCATCGTCACCAGCATCAGTTCAGTCTTCCGTAGCTGGTTTGAGGCTCAAGCACTGTTGTGTTGCAAGGTTCGCACCGCGTTCCCTGGCGATGCCGAGGGATGGGAAAATATCAAGAATAGCACCAAGGCCCCAGCCCAGCTCGCAACCAACAACGGTTGGAAGGTCCCCGCCCCTTCCGGGAAAAGGCGCCTCCGTCACAAGCAGGCGGCCCCGATGGCTTCCATTTGCCCTCGCGAGAAGATGACGGCAGACGAGAAGAAGACGGCTAGCAAGGAGGCGGCGCGGCGCA